TACATTAAGTAAAAAGAAAAGCAGGGTGCAGACTTGTTCATGGTATTCTACCCTTGGAAGGCAGATATGTGCATATACAGATGTGTATGTATGTAATGTATTCATTTATATGTTTAACAACAAACAATGGAAGCATTTACCAAACCAGTTTTTTTGGTTACTTATATTGAAAGGGAGGGACCCAAAGTGGACAGAAATGGGAAGATTTTTGTGAATGAAAGTCATTATATAATTTTGACAATGGCATCATGTAAAGGTTTTTGGATAATCAGTAAACATCTAAATCAAGAAAGTATGAGGAAGCCACTCCTAAATATGGAAATTATATGGAAATTAATTAGTTTAAATATATAAATGTATGTCAAGTTGGTGATACAACCAAAGAGGAAAAAATTACTTCATAACATGGCAGTTTTGCTTTTTTTTTTTTTTTTTGCAATACGCAGGCCTCTCCCTGCTGTGGCCTCTCCCGCTGCAGAGCACAGGCTCCGGACGCGCAGGCTCAGCGGCCATGGCCCACAGGCCCAGCCGCCCCGCGGCACGCGGGATCCTCCCGGAGCGGGGCACGAGCCCGCGTCCCCTGCATCGGCAGGCGGACTCTCAACCACTGCGCCACCAGGGAAGCCCTACATGGCAATTTTAACTCTATATTCCAAGTGGAATATTCTCTAAGGGAAAAAAAAATAGTTCCATAGATTAATTGTTAGTAACAACGTTATTACTGTTATTTTTAAACTGTTACATATATTTGGGTAAACCCTTTCAATGTATCTCCCTCCTATGCTGTTTTCTGGATTTTCCGTTTGTTTTTTGGTTTTTTTGCTAACCTTTTTCTTTTTTCCTCTCTGTCCTTCATTTTGGACCTTTTCTGTTGACTGCTTTTCAGGTTCACTGCCCTGGACTTCTACTGTGTTCAGTCTCCTGGTAGCTGCACACCGTGATTTCTTTTTCTTACATATTTTGTAATTTTCCGTTTTAGAATGCAGGTTTTTCTTTAACTTTTCATTCTTTGTTGAGATACTCCATGTCCCTTTTATCTACCTTTCCTCTATTTTCTATCACATAATCATCACAGCTACTTTGAGGTCTTGGCCAACGTGAGTGTTTGGGTCACGCCCAGACCCTGTCGGCTGTTCCGTGGCTCACTGTGCATCTGGGAATTCTCCTCTGTGTGCCGAGCATCACGGATGAAGTGCTGCGGGGCTCCCACGTGTTCCCCCTTTGTTCCGGCAGGGAATGAAGTGGTCAGTGGCCCCCTTGCTCCTCTCAAGACTCAAGTTTCGGCTTTGTTGGGGCAGGTCTGTTTCCATTTTGCCAGAGTCCCCGTCACCTACGTGCAACTGCTGTGGAAAGCTTGGTCTTCTCACTGGGGTCCCTTCACTCCAGGGCCCCACACTGGCTCCTGCTGAGCTGAGCTGTCAGTGTGACCCCCACTTCCCAGTTAGTTTTGACCACCCCACCCTTGCCCAGAGTCTCATTTTATGCAGACACAGGATTCACCAAAGACCCAAGGGGGATTTCACACAGGTTTTGGGTGCTCCTTCTTAGTCCCTATCTACAATCTCTGCACCCCACTTGGAAAACACCCTCAGGGACAAGCAGGATGAGTGTGGGGCTCACCTCCAGCTTCTACCTTCCCCAAGGATCGTGGGCTTCTGCTTGTCACCCAGCTTTTACCACGGGTTCCTGCCTGAGGCTAGGTCAACCCCAGTGACTGCATCATGGCCCCATCCTAGATGCCACAACTTGTGTCTTGAAGGATCAAGCAAGTCAGCAATCAGGTTGATGCCATTGGAAAGCAAGAGTTGTCGTGTAACAAAAAGATGTGTTTGTTGAGGGGTTTTGTCATGCATGGTGTTGAATTTTGTCAAATGATTTTTCCTGCATCTGTTGAAATTTTAACTTTCTCCTAGACCCTCTTAATGTGGTGAATTATATTGACAGATTTTGCAAATATTTTGCAAAATAATTTTGCATTCCTAGTGTAAATCCTCGTTCTTCATGATTCTTGAATTTTTCTTGCTAATATTTTTGTGAGGAGCTTGCATCTATGGTCATTAGAGATATTGGTGTTGCCATTTTCAGTTTGCTCACATCCTTGTCAGATTTTAAAATCAGAGTTATGCTTGCTTTGTATGATGTCTTTGGAATTACTTCCTCATCCTCTATTTTTCTGAAGCAGTTTGTGTGAGGTTGGTGTTATCACTTCTTTACATGTTTGGCAGAATTTCCCAGTGTTTAGAGTCTTCTTGGTGGGAAGGTATTTGACAACAAATTCAATTTTTTCAATATTTACAGGGGTATTCAAATTCCTTTCTTAGTTTGTGTCAGTTTTGGAAGTTGTGGTTTTTGAAATTGTCCAGTTCATCTAAGTTGATATATATGTTGGCTTGAAGTAGTTCATCATAATAATCCCACATTATTGTTTTGACATCTGTAGGATCTGTAGTGGTGGCTTATCTTCATATCTCTTGTTTGTTTTCTCCTTTTCTCTTTAAGCATTTTCCAGTTTGAAGGTTACTAACTTTATTTCATTTTTCTTTATTGTTTATCTATGTTTTCATTAATTTCCATTCATATTTATTATTTCCCGCTGTATTCACTTCCTATGGCTGCCTTAAAATATTACCACAAACTTAATGATGTAAAACAACACAAATTTTTTATCTTAGAATTAGTTCTGTAAAGCAGAATTCCAGCACAGGTCTCACTGAGCTAACATCAGGTGTGGCAGACCTGTGCTCCTTTCTGGAGTCTCGGGGAGAATGCATTTCCTGGCTTTCTCCAGTTTCTGGAGGCCTTCCTCCCTTCCCTCCCACCTGCAACACTGCATCTCTCTCTGACCCTTCCTCCCTCATCACTTTTCTCTCTAATGCAGTCAGAGAGGCTCCCCACTTTAAAGAACCCTGTGGCTGTATATGGTCCACCTGGACCATGCAGGGAAGTCTCCCTGTTTCAAGGCCTGTAACCTTAATCCCATCTGCAGGATCCCTTTGCCACAAGAGATCACATTTACAGTTTCAGGGACTCAGGTGTGGGCATCTTTGGGGTGGGCGCAGGGGTTATTCTGCTGCCACACCTACATTCCACCTACTTTGGCCTTAGTTTACATTACTTCTAGCTTCTTAACGTAGAAACCATTTGTCTTTTCTAATTTAAGCATTTAGTCCTGAAATTTCCTACTCAGTACTACTTTAGCTGTGTTCCACACATTTTGGCATGTTGTATTTTCTTTTTTTTTCTTTTTTTTCTTTTTTTCCGGTACGCGGGCCTCTCACTGCTGTGGCCTCTCCCGTGGCAGAGCACAGGCTTCGGACGCGCAGGCTCAGAGGCCATGGCTCATGGGCCCAGCCGCTCCGCAGCATGTGGGATCTTCCCCGACCGGGGCATGAACCCGTGTCCCCTGCATCGGCAGGCGGACTCCCAACCACTGCACCACTAGGGAAGCCCTGTATTTTATTTTTCATTCAGTTCACTGTATATTTTAAATTTCACTTGAGGTTTCCTCTTTGTCCATGAATTATTCAGAAGTGTGTTAATTTCCAAGTGTTTAGAGACATTTCTGTTATCTTTCTGTTATTGATCTCTCGTTTGATTTAATTATAATCAGAGAATAAATGCGCTGTGTGATTTGAATTCTTTTCAATTTGTTGAGGTTAGTTTTCTGGCCCAGGATATGGTCTGTCTAGGTGATTGTTCCCTGGGTGCTTGGAAAGAATGTGTGTCCTGCTGTTGTTGAGCAGACAGTTCTACAGATGTCAGCCACCTCATCTGGGGCCTGGTGTTAAGTTCTTCTATATTGTTGGTGGTTTTCTGTCTAGTTGTTCTACAAGCTGTTGAGAGAGGGGGTCTTAAAGTGTCCAGATGTGACCGTGGATCTGTCTGTTTTCCCCTTAGTTCTACCAGTTTTTACTTCATGGGTTTTGTGGCTCTGTTGTCTGACGCACGCATATTTAGGATCGCTCTCTTTTTGATGGAGAGACTTTTTATCATTATGTAATGACTTCTTTGTCCCCGATTGTTGTCCTTGCTCTGAAGTCTTCTGTGTCTGGTGCTAATGTAATCATGCCTGATTTTTACAAAATAATATTTGCTTGGACAGCATATAGTTGGGTCATTTTTTTCATTAATACATTCTGCCAATCCCTGTCTTTTAATTGGGTATTTAGACCATTTATATCATAATGTAATAATTATTGCCATGTTAGGGCTGAAGGCTGTCATTTTATTGTTTGTTTTGTGTTTGTTCTCTCTGTTTTTTTTAAAAAAATATTTATTTATTTATGTATTTTGGCTGTGCCTGGTCTTAGTTGCATTGCGGCATGCAGACTTCTTAGTTGCGGCATGTGGAGTCTTAGTTGCAGTATGCATGCAGGATCTAGTTCCCCGACCAGGGATTGAACCCTGGCCCCCTGCATTGGGAGTGCAGAGTCTTACCCACTGGACCACCAGCGAAGTCCCTCTCTCTGGTTTTTGTTTTTCTGTTTACTCATCCTACCCTCCTTTGGATTACTTGACCATTTTTTTTAGAATTTCATTTTGATTCATCTCTAACATTTTTGAGTGTATCTCTTTGTACAGATTTTTTTTTAAGTGGCAGTGTCTGCAGGCTGGGCAAGGAGCTGGACAGCAATGGGGCAGAGGTGTGATGGTGGGGCGGCCACATCTCTTTGCCTTGTGGTCCAGCCCTGCTACCCCGCTTGCTGACACAGCGAGCAGTCAGCCTGCAGGACAGAGAGCAGGCCTCCTGTCCTGTGTTCACCAAGGCCCGTGGCTGAGGAGTGGAGGTGGGCTGCTGCGCCCTTCCAGTGCCGCAGGCTCTGGCTGGGCCCAGCGTGTTTCGTCTGCATCTTTGCGGAAAACATTTTCACAAAAGCATTTTGAAAAGGGCAGTTTATTAGAATGTTAGTAATGGTAGCAAGAAAGACTGACAGTAAACAGTTCGCATGGTAATTAAGATATGTTTTCTTTCCTTGTTGAATTTATGTAGAAATGAGCTGGAACGTGGTAACAGGAACACCGATGTTGGTACTGCACGTCCCCCTTTCAGAGCACATTCTTGTCCTTGCCTCGTAGGCTCCTCCCCACAGGCCTCCCTGGAGGACTCTGGGTGGAACCACACCTTTTCCAGACACGGTAGTGCTTCTCCTGGGGCCTCAGATAGTGAAGGTTGGCGCTGGGACTGTGACCCCGGCCTGGGGTGTCGGGGCCTCACTTCCTCCTCTCCCTTTGATGCTTTCTGGAACGTTCCAGGAAGTACAGGGGTGTCTGCACCTGGCACATTCAAACTGACTCACACGCAGAGCGTTTGCAGAAAGCTGTGTCTGGAGAAAGGTTTCTGTGGCTCAGAGAAGCTTGAAAACCACCTGCCGTCTCGAAGAGACTTGTGTGACCAGGTGTGCCTGGGAGCGCTGGAGACGTGTGTATGGTCACCTCCTGGGGTGGGCACAGGGGACCATGCAGGGGACCTGGGACTGTGAGGATTGAAGATGAGCCTGTGGTCTGGGGGGCCGCGTGGTGATCAGGCCGACCCCCAGAGTGGAGTGAGCTGGGAGCCAGGAAGTGGGACCCTTAGAGCACTGGGTCAGCACAGCCTCCAGGTGGGCAGAGCTGCTGCCCAGCGAGCTGTGTTTGAACTCTACCTTGGACAGCTGTGCACAGAAGTCAGCAGCTGGAAAGCATGGATGAAAAAAGAGGGACAAGTCTCAAGTGAGGAAGGCCGACGTAACCGGTGTGGACTTGAGGTCCGGCCCTGATGACCTGGGAACATGGGGTCCCGCGCTGACCTTCAGCTTCTCCCTGATGCGTCAGGAGCTGCGTGGGGTAGCAGGGCTGCCCCGGGGTCTGTGTGCTTGGCTCCCTGTGGAGCTGCACACTCTGGGGGCCTGTCCACCCCTGTTAAAATAATTGACGGCACCGTGGCTGAGTGCGGAGGGAGTGCTCTTGAAGCTGAGGGTGAGGCCTTCCCGATGAGTGTCCCGGCTGGGCACTGGGTCCTGAGAGGCTCGCACATGCTGGCCGAGGCTGCTGGATCAAGAAGCATCAGGCGTGGCCTCCACCTGCCGGGAGTATGCAGCAGGAAGACGGGCTTGGACACTGTCCTGCTGGGAAGAACCGCAGGACCACCCATTAACCAGCTGACCGGCTGTTCTCGACTGGGGATCTGGGCGTGACAGCTTTAGTCCAGGCTCCCAATCTAAAGCACTTCCAACATCCTCACCCCTCCTCGGGACAGGCTGCACAGTGGTGGAATCAGTTCTCACACCAGTTGGAGTCCTGGGACGACCTGGAAGGCCCGTCACCGAGCTCGTGCTGCCCTTGCCCTCTTCACTCCCACCCCACTCCAGGGCCTTTGCAGATGCCCGGCGGGCTGGGTGCTCTGCTCCCTCCTGTGTTTCAGGTCCTTATTCAAAAGTCACCACAGTGGGCCTTCCCTGCCCCTTTGTGAGGCCCACCCCCACCCTGTCCTGTGCGCCCTCCTGGCTGTGCTTAGCACTGGTCACTGCCCAGTGCCCTATTTGGCCTATCTTTGTCTTTGCTGTCATCTGTCTTGTCCACTCAAACGCAGCCTCCTTGAGGTGGGCATTCGGGTCCTGTCCAGCACTGTTTCTAGGGGGGTGGGGGGGTGGGGGTATGGGGGAGTGTTCATGTTAACTCAGGTGAAACTCACAGTGACCAGGGACTTTGTTTTCTGAAAGGAGTGAAAAGCTGTGGGATCTCCCAGAGATTTAACCCTGCGGGAGGGGGTTCCCCCCAACCCCATCCCACTGAGCTACCTGCCCCTGGAGAAGGTGTGTGTGGATCACGCCTCCCCCTACACCCAGGGGCCGGTGGTCAGAAGAGGACACTGCTGTTGTCAGGGTGCTTGGGGAGGCCCCGTAGCCGGGAGTTAGAGTAGGTTTGGCCCATGTTTCTGGAATAGTAGGTGAAAGACGCTTTCGGTTTTGAGGGCCTTGCAGTCTTTAGCATCCAATCAACTCTGCCCTTGTAGTGGGCATGGCTTCGAACCGAAACCCACGGGGGCAGGTTTGGTCTGTTTTTGTGAATCCCTCAGAGAACTGTTTTCTTTGAAGAATTGGGATTTAGCCAGTGGAGCTCTGCTGCCACCTAGTGGCTGGTAATTTTGCTGGATCGGGTCACACCCTTTCATCTCCGGGGCCGCCTTCCAGTGAAGGAGAGACTGAGGCTTCTAGAATACCCAGATGCTTTTCCACCCCGGTTGAGTTCAGGAGGTTCTGTTGACCATCATCCTCCTGGCCTCCTTGGAGACGCCCGCGTAAGCGCGTCAAGACTGGCTTCAGAGCGGGGCTGAGGGTCTGCAAACGTGGGATGTTAACGGAGGGTGGGAGCAGCTGCCCGTCCTCGCCTCCACCTGCAGCCTCCCCGCCTGCCTATGGCCGTCGTCCTCTCGTGCTCCAGGTATCTGGCCTCTCCAGGGAGGGCGGGTGAGCTGTGAGGATGCAGTCGGGAGTGCAGGGAATGGCCCTGGAGGGGACGTGGGGGTGTCCAGGGCTGCTGTGACCGCTACCCTCCCACAGCTCCTTAGCCCACCGGGCTAGTCAGGTGTGAAGGATAGGACGTCTGGTCCAACACACCTGCGGACTGGCGGGACCATAGGGCTTGTGCACAGGCTTCAGCTGAAGGGCAGGTGTGGACTCGGGAGGGGAGTGGGTGGAGGCCAGCCTGGGCTGCATACGTCTGGCCCACTCGGTGACCTTAGGCTTCCTGTCCAGGGGGCTTGGGCTGACGTCAGCAGGAGAAGGGGCTTCAGGCCACTGGAAGGGGGACCCTGCGACTCGAGGGGCAGCGCCCTCAGTGCAAGGCAATGGGCGGTGAGGCCACTGCGCAGAAAGGCACGGTGATGATACACCACCTCACCCCTCGGCCTGTGCCTCCCGGAAAATTCACTGGCAGCGTGAACCTGAAGTCAGATGCCTGTTACAGAAAGACTGTCCTGAGTGGGCAGCGCCCAGGGCTGGGCAGGAGCAGAGGGCTGCACATGCACCCCCTCCTGCCGCCCGCAGGCCTTTAGGCCAGGGGCGTGTCTTAGAGCCAGTGAAGGGTGGAGAAGGGGCCACACGAACCTGGCACAGGGCCTCTGACTGGGAGGCAGGCACGTGACCTTTGCCGAGGATGGCGGCCAGCCTTCCCCGTCCCCAGTGGGCTCGAGGACCAACTGGCCTGTGGCCAGGCACGGGCTCCCCTCACCAGGCTGGCCCACAGCTGAACCTGCCGTGGGCATCACTCCCGGGCCCAGCCTGTCCCGGGGGCAGTACTCATGGGCATCTGGGTCCCTCCCCTCCTGGCAGGGGAGCAGGCGGGAGCAGACCTTCCCCACCAGCACCGCCCCATCCGACCATGGAGCTGGCTCTGCAGCAGGGCCCCGGGTCCCACCCAGTAGTCCCAGGCCTCAGTGTGGGAGCCGTGGTCCTGGACCAACGCCGGGCAGGAGGGCTGTGTGCAGCCAGCAGCATCGTAAGGAAAGTCGGCGTCCCGCAGTCCACACTGCTGCGATCGGAACTTTGCGCTCACCAAGTGACCTGTACTTACCTATCGGCGAGTCACAATTTACAGGTGTTGCTGTTTCTCAGAGTAATAAAAGTAAAAATATCATCATTAACCGAAGTGGCCAAATTATGGGGGGATTGGTGAAATATGAGGGGTTAGTCTGATGCCTTTAGAAGGGCTTTGGAGAGGGTATTTAAGAACGTGGGAAGATGTTCAGTACATAAATTCTGGTGCTTCTGGACCGACGGCTTTCTCAGGCCATGTCCTGTGAGGGTGGCAGCCCCAGGCCGGGCCAGGCTTCCACGACAGGGCACCTTAAACCCCACCTGTCTCACCGGCTACTGACGAGGGTTCTGGCGGTACCTCTGGTTGTCCCGGAGCTTGCACACATCTTAGTCACACGTTGCCAGCGTCTTATTTTATCATGTAAAAGTTCTTTACATATTGTTTCCTGAAGTATATACTGCAAATATTTTCTCAGATGATCTGCCCTGGTATTTTATTGGTAATAGCTTTTTGAAAAAAGGCTTTAGAACAATTTTAGATTTGCAGAAATGTTTAAAAAAAAGACAGCACGGAGATTTCCACCCACCCCACTCGTAGTTTCCCGTTATCAACACCTATGTCAGTGTGGTACACTGGTTACAATTAAGGAGCCAAGATTAATACATTATCACCGAACTAAAGTCCATTCTATATTCAGATGTCCTCAGTTTTTCCCTAATGTCTTTTTTCTGTCCTAGAATACATTGAATTGCCTTGTCTCTTTAGGCTGTTTTTGGCTGTGATACTTAGACATTCCTTGTTTTTGATGGTCTTGACAGTTCTGAGGAGAGTGGGTCAGAGAATTTATAGAATGTCCGTCTATCGGGACTTGTCTGATGTTTTTCTCATGACTGGACTCGGATTATGGGTTTTTGGAAGAGCACAGAGGGGAAGGGCCCTTCTCATCACGTCCCGTCCAGGGGTCCAGGGTCCATGCCGTCTCATGACCTGCACTGTGGACACTGACCTTGGTCACCTGGCCCAGGTGTCTGTCAGTCTCTCCACTGCAAGTCATTCTTTGTCCCCTTCGCCACACTGCCCTCTGTGGTAGGAAATCGCCATGTGAAGCCCACACCTAAAGAGTGAAATAAGAATATACTTTTACTCTTGAAATTGTGTGAGAATCTATATTGGTATAGTGTGTGAGGTCAAATCAGTCTAATCTTTTACTTTTTGGTCTAACACTAATTGTACTGGCACCTTTGTTAAATAAACCATGTCTCAGTTCCCCAAGGGTCCTAATGTCACGGCGTCTTCCAGTACCTTACGTGCCCGTCCTCCTGGGTCCACCCATCTCACCGCGTGGCTGTACCAGGAGCACATAGTCTCAGTGAGTGTCTTTTAAAATTGGCTCTTTATTCTTTTAAGTGACCTTTCACCTGCTCTGTGAGGGTTCATGCAGGTCCAGCTGGGTTTGGGTCGGAATTGTGATGAGTCTTCGCGGTGGAAATGCGGCCATTTAACCCCAGGCCTCTGGCCCTTCCTTCTAGAGGGTTTCTCTGCCTCTCATCTGCTGTACCCACGGGCTTGGGGCCCTGTCCTGTGATCCGCCAGATCTCCCCAAAGGAGTGCAGCCACTGCCTGCCTGTGGCCCGGGCTGGATGCGCTTGGAGTGC